TGACCACACTTCCTTTGTGGATTTATTAGAAAACATATCCCTATGAGCAATAAATTTTAGTTTTCTTATAATTTTTTTGGCTCGGTTACGACAGCGACAAAACAATTTCCAATTTTCAACACTTTTGTCCCGAAGATAGGACCTATAAGAAATGTCACGAAGAGACAAGTGATACCGAATTTCAGCAGACTTAAACCAGTCATCTTTATTAATTTTACAAAATCTCCTTTTAACAGGAACTACACTATACAAGTGCCGAAGACCACAGTTCAATATATCAAGCTGGGCATCAACATCTGCCACAGAATAAAGCTCACCAAAGTTGTATGTATCAAAGGCGCTGGAAAGCGCCACAGGATCAACAGAACTGAAATCTGCATATTCATAAAAACTCTGCACACAAAAACTGGGAACATTAATTGATAGAAAGATGAACGAGTGATCAGAAATACCAGGGCACAAAAACTGATTTGAACATGCTACCAAACTCAGACACGACACAAAAAAATAATCCAACAAAGAAGTAGAGGTATGCGCAATATCGACGTGTGTGGGCATTGAGTTGTGGACAACAGATAAATTTAATCTGCTACAAATTTCCCTTACAACTAAACTTCGCTGCAGATCAAACATATTGTTATTGAAATCTCCCATAATAATAACATTTGAGTACCTAACAACAAGATCAGAAATTTCATTTTCAAAAGCCACAATATCGCCATGTGGCAAATAAACCACACCAACAAGAAACACACAATTGCTTACAATTACCTCGCAGAAAACATATTCAACAACTCCATAAGAACTTCCTCTGCACACAAATTTATGTTTAATATTCTGAGAAACATACATTACAACACCACCTCCTCTATTACAAGGACGATCACTCCTATAACAAAAATAACTTGGTATTTGTATAGCTTCTGTGGAAACAATAGGCTTTAACCAAGTTTCTGTCACGCCAAAAATGCCAAGATTATTACCCTCTAAAATATTTCTCAATTCATGGATTTTAAAAGTATTCTTACTCAAATTATAACTTCTGAGATTTACATGACCTACATTAAGATTGTTTTTAAAATTGCATAACTGACTTCTAAGAAAACTATTATCGCTAACAATATAACCTAAACTAGTTGAAAAATTCATTATCTGACCGTATAATTCAGATGAGCGTAAGAAACAAAATTAAATCCAGGAAAAATAAAATTAATAAATAATTCAACTACTCACACAACCTTCACTTATGAACTACCACCAATATTATCTGCACTTAACCGTGAAACAGCAGATGAATCCAAACCGCATGAGGCAGCACTAGCAACATTAGCTACACCAGCAGAGCCATCATCACCATTATCATTCAACATATTAGTGCACTGATTTATATCAAGCTCACCCTCTCTTCCATCACGGAAGACAACCAACGCTTTAGGGTTATCCTCACTCTTCAGCTTGAACTTTTTGATTTTATTATTTCTCCACAACTTGCGACAGAGATACATTAATTTTGAAGCTGTACGATTATGATGGTCATTCAGGTACACTCTACTTCTTACAGCCACACCAGTGATATCACCAAGCAATAGAGGATTACGTCGCTTCTGGTAACTAGCCATTGAACTGTCTCTAACGAGAATGGAATTAAACTTAACCAGCACGGATTTACCCTTTGAGATATAGCAGCAATGGTTTATGTCGCCAGGGTGCAAATCAATACCGTATATAGCTGCGATTTTCATTATCGGGTCTTTCAATCTCTTGATCCCATCAGGCAAACCACTGACAATTATGTTTGACCTATTGAGACGCCTAGTTAGTATATCGGCTTCAATTACAGACTCTTGCTTAGTCTGCTCGAAAATATTAATTGCAGCCTGGCAACTCCGCACTGATTCCTCCATTAGTTGAAACCTACTGTCAACCTCTGAACGAATCGTCTTGACCACATCCTTAATTTTCAGCATAAAGCTTTCAAATTGCTTCTCCAAACATAGCTTATATAATTCAAATTCTTGCCTCAGCGTTTCATAAACATCTTCATTACCGCTTTGTGTATCAGTACCTGCATGACTAGAAGCAGTAGCATCAACGCTGTTATCAGTCTTCTTCTTAACACAGGTTGGGCATTTGAATAAAAACATCATTGTTTTTCTGTTCCTGTATAAGAAACTGTGTTGCTCTTTAGTCACATTAACGCAGTTAATATGAAAAAACATTCCACAGATACAACATCCAACACTATTTTGATTGTTCTTGACAACACTACTACAAGTTGGGCACGTATATGTTTTTGTTGTAGTTGGCATGGTTTCAGGATTGGATTCAGATAACGTTCCAGATATATTATCGAACACAGATGACAACCGCAACGACATCAGCTGCAACACAACAAGGGGGATCAGCTACAGCAACACAACAACAAAGCAATTGAAAACGATAAGCCACTACAGCAGTCACCAACTACTCCACTTGCTTGTAAACAAATCTACACCAACGCAAAGAGTACACAGCTCAATTTATTCAATATCAATCAGTATAAATACAGCATTTGTTCCAGAAACACTGCGCGGCAATTTGATGTTGTATTCTTCTTCTTCTTCCAATCAGCTATTGTTTTATTTCATTTACAATTTGGTATTGTAAATCGCTCCTCCAACACACAATTGATGGTCGCAATAAAATCAATTTATTAACGCAAAAAACAACTTAATTTGCACTGCTATGCAAAAATTATTTATTAAATTTTATAATTTCCCGGGAGCAAAAATATTTACTGACACATCCTATAGGGCTCGCAAAATCGTAATTTCAATCGTGTACAGTTTCGTGAAAATCGGTTCATATTTAAATACAGCTCCCATATATATTTTTATATATTTGGCATATCGTAATGAATTATCTCTAGAATGATGTGTGTTAAGTTTCCTGAAAATCGGTCCAGATTTAGATATAGCTCCCATATATAATTTCGTCCGATTTAATGTAAATGTTGCATCAAAGTCCCTATATTTTCGATTTGCACGAAATTTGGCACAGCGTAATGAATTAGGTATAGAATGATGTGTGTTAAGTTTCCTGAAAATCGGATTAAATTTAGATTTAGCTCTCATATATATTTTCGTCCTATTAAATGTAAATGGTGCACCAAAGACCCTATATATCATTCGATTTGCACGAAATTTGGCACAGCGTAATGAATTAGGTCTAGAATGATGTGTGTTAAGTTTCGCAAAATCGGTTCAGATTTAGATATAGCTCCGAAAGATATTTTCGTCCGATTTAATGTAAATGGTCCACCAAAGTCCCTATATATCTTCCGATTTGCACGAAATTAGGCACAGCGTAATGAATCAGGTCGAGAATGATGTGTGTTTAGTTTCCTGAAATCGGTTCAAATTTAGATATAGCATATATATCTGACCAAATGAAAAATTTAGTATTGGTTGCAGAATGACATGTTTATGGATCCAGTTTCATTTTACTGGCCCTTTAAAAATGCGACGTCTGTTAGGATTCTTCTGTTGAATATACCCAAAGTGGTGAAGGGTATGATAAAGTCGGCCCCATCCCACTTTACTACTTACTTACTGTTTTTTACTTTACTTCCTTACCTGAAAAACATGTTATTAATTTCTAGAAGTAATTGGCAGATTAATATTTAAATAAATTGAACCAAAAATTAATTCAAATTTAAAATTTTATTTATTTTTAACTTTTTTTTCAAAATTGAATGCTTTTTTCAATTTTTCACATACTATATTATTTCCTTAAAGTAGTCCACAACTTAGCCTTTGGTAAAACTATTTTTGTTGATTCCGAACGATGATACTGTAATATGTTTGGTTCTTATTATATTTACCACTTGCTGAAAATACATATACAAACAATATATTGTATTATTTATTGAGAATAATATTTAAATTATATAAAAATATATTATTGGTAATTTTTTGTTGTAAACTTACCAAAACTAATTTGATCAAAAATACTGCAAACGTAAGGAAGTTAATACTCATCAATGCAGCTTCTGGAGGAAATTCAATAGATGATTCGCCTAAGAAGCCACGCTTTTGTCGCTTAAGTCGGCGTCCTTCGTCCACATTTTCCTCAACGTCGCCGTCATCGTCGTCATCATCATTGTCGTCTCTATAATTTGACCACAACGCGGTAAATTGTCGTTCTGAGATGGAATGAAAAAGAAAACTCTTTATAAAAGAATTTAAAATGTTAAAGGCATCGTGACATGGAAGCTAGTTACATTTATTGTTTTTTTTTAATGGATCAAATATCAAATTACCGTCCCTTCGGTCGGGTTCTTTGTAAAAAATATAATATATATGGAATATTTTATATGTATGCTTTAACTAAATCTGAACTGATTTTTCCAAATTTCAATAGGGTTCGTCCTTGGGCCAAATAAATGAGATGTGCCAAATTTTTTTCAATTCGGATCATAAATGCGACCTGTACTTTGTTTACAATTTAACATCGACAGACATACGGTCGTTTCTTTTTGCTGTTACAAACATATACACAAAGATATAATACCCTGTAGTACAGGGTGTTGAAGGGTATAAGTACATGTTTTGTATGATAAGAAATTATTGTGTAAAAGCTCGCTCCTTTTCCGGTATTATTAACATAACGAAATTTTCTCGTCTAAGTCGTTATAATTTTACATATCAGATTCCTGGTTAATTCTTTAAACAAATATCCCGTTTTATTTTTGAAATGTTGAAATTCTTAACTCAGTTTTCCAGTTTGTGTATCTCATCATTTTTTCGGATCATGAACAACCTGCTATCACATAATCCGATAACATAGTCCGCCCCGAAGGCTTTCAGTTAATTTAAATGGTGAAGGTTATAAAATGTTCATCCCGGCTAAACTTAACGAAGTTCTTACTTTGTTTCCAGACCCTTACCAATATTCCGCAACAGATTATCTTTCAAATTATAGAGAAATTTAATTTTATCCTCAATACGAAATAGGGAATTTTTAATCCATGTTTGTTTGAGTGATTTGAGAAAGGAGAGAAATCCCTGAATCGATGGATATTTCAGTTCACTATTGTTCGCTTCATCTTCGGTTTTTTGTTGAGGTTCTTCATCATCATCGTCAACAACATCCACATATTCCACCTCCTCATTAAGATTTTCACCATTATTATTCTTATCGATGCCATTTTGTCTTGAAGATGTTTCGAAATTATTGGGAAAATTATGTGTTTGTTGTTGTTGTTGCTGTTGATGGTGGTGATGATGATGATGTTTGTCGATAACCCCTGGCCCTGCTGCAGTTGAATTATTTCTTATTTGCTGGTGACGCGTTCGATGCTGATTATCTTCGATGGAAATTCCAATTGCCACTTTTTCTTTATTATACTTCGGATGATGCCGTTCTTGTTGATAGCGTATCCATTCCGGACTAGGGGTGTCATATTCATCTTGGTGATTTTTAAAAGCATATAAGAATGCTGGAAAAATCCCGATAATTACTAAGACGACAATCGGCGTTAGATGCATTTCGTTTGAATTAATTTCATAGACTAAATTGCATTACCGCTTTTTTCCTGTTTGTAGGTGGGAAAATAAAAGTTTGTGGTGGATGGCTGGCTAGGCTTTGAAAGTAGAAATTGCCAATGGAACAAAAAGAGTTTGTCAAGCGTGTTCGTTTCTGCAGTTAAGAATAGTTGCTGTTTTCTTCTTTAATTTCTTTTTATCAAATTGATGCCATCAAAATCATGAAGCGTGATGTGGGACTTCTTATTGCAAATGCTTCTGTGGATTTTTCCAATTTTTCATATGTACAGAATACATACGAATTTAGAGTTACATACTTATATTCGAGGGAAGCTGCCATTGTTGTTAAGAACATTTTTACTTTCCAAATAAGATGTGATGTAATTAGGGTAGGTTAATACACTCATTTTTATAAAAATTGATTCGAAGTAATTATATAAACCAATCAGGAAGAAACGTCGTTAAACTAGGCCACAAGTTGTACCTTCAAATGATCTAAAATAGTTGGTAATGTGGACCTTATTATCACCTCCGTTATTAGATCATGGGAAAGCAGATTGTCAATGTTTTATAATGTTTTCTAGTGACTGCTCCCGAGTCATTTCCATCACCTCAGAGGTAGAGAAATTTCCGAAAAATCACTCAAGAATGTGAAATGTAAATTAGATGCCCTTACGTTGGGAAATTTGATTAGGGGCATCAATTAGCCCAGAATGACCACGCGATCAAAATGTGACCCAATATTAAAGATGTTTTTAGTGAAGAAGAAGAAATGCCAAATCACAGCCTCTCCTATCGCATCTAGAATCAACAAAAAACACTGAACTGATATTAACCAGTAAGGAAATTCCAAAAGTCGGACGGGTCCGACTATATGATACACTTCACCACTCTAGGTACATACAAGAGATGCTCATATGTTCAATATCCGTTAGATAGACTAGACATATTATCTTTGGAGGACAATCCAAATGGAGTCGGACGAAATAAACTGCGTGAAGTTATATATATATTTGAACTAAATTAAAACAACCCATACTTTGCGCACTAATTCGGCCTAAGCGGATAAACTTTGGTTACTTGGTACATAATTTTGATGAAATAGGATATAAATATCTAAACCTGAAACGTCTTCAATCCAATAGACAGACATAGGCTCCTCCATTTGTATTATTTGCATTAAAACGGACAAACATATATGAAGGAGCTATATCTACATCTGAACCGATTTCAAAAACATAATAATCTGCAAATGGAACAGGTGCACCATTTGCATACATCAATCCAGACATAATTCAGTACTCTTTGCAAAATTTTGTATCAATCGGACCAATATTGGGAGTTTGGTGCACCATTTACATAAAATCGGACAAAACTATATATGGGAGCTATATCTAAATCTGAACTGATTCCAAAAAAAATTCACATATATCAATCTGGACCTAATTTAGTACTCTGTGCAAAATTTTGTCTCAATCAGACCAATTTTGGAGTTTGGTGCACTATTTAAATAAAATAGGACGAAACTATATATGGGACCTATATCTAAATCTGTTTCAACCAGACCAATTTTGGAGTTTGGTGCACTATTGAAATAAAATCGGATGAAACTATATATGGGACCTATATCTAAATCTGAACCGATTTCAACAAAACTTCAAATACATCAATCTGGAGCTAAGTTAGTACTCTGTGCAAAATTTTGTCTCAATCAGTCCAATATTGGCAGTATGATGCTCCATTTACATAAAATCGAACAAAATTATATATGGGAGCTATATCTAAATCTGAAGCGATTTCAAAACTTCGCATACATCAATCTAGACCTAAAATAGTATTCTGTGCAAAATTTGGTCTCAATTGGACCTGTATTGGCAGTATGATGCTCCATTTACATAAAATCAGACGAAACTATATATCGGAGCTATATCTAAATCTGAACCGATTTCAACAAAACTTCGCATACATAAGAATGTACTAATTCAATGCGCTGTGCAAAATGTTGTTTCAATCGGACCAATATTGGGTGTTTGGTTCACCATTTACATAAAATTGGACGAAACTATATATGGGAGCTATATCTATATCTGAACGGATTTTCTCCAATTTCAATAGGCGAAATAAGTGACATGTGGCAAACTTTATCCAAATCGGATCATAAATGCGACCTGTACTTTGTTCACAAAAATACATGGACGGACAGAAAGAAGGACGACTTGCATAAATCGACTTAGAAAGTGATTCTATGTACATTCTCAAAAGGAACCATGGGTCGATTCCTTTTGCCCTTTTACAAACATATGCACAACGACATAATGCCCTTTAACATAGTGTGGTGAAGTGTATAAAAATGTTCTGCGAAGAATGTTTTTGTCCTTCATTAGTTCGAAATGCCAATTACAAACCGAATATTTCCAAATATCTTGGAAATGGGAAATATTGCCACTCCTTTTTAGGTTACCTCCCGACATCAACTTTTAAAATGCCTATAAAGTGTCTTCTATTTTTAGCCTCTCTATCATAATTTTTTGGAATATCTCGATAGTTGTCGAAAAAAGTTAAATTTGATCTACTCTCCCATCGTTTCAGTTCTTATTATACCCTTTGCCTTATGGCTAATGAGGGTATGTTCCATACCACAAAAAATATGCCTCATCGTTTTTAGACCCCATGTTTCTTTCTTTCTTCCTTGGAAATGTAAAAATTTATACGCAATTTATGAAGGAGTGGACCAATGGGTCTCATCTTTGAACTTGGTAAGGATATTAGATTGGGCAAGATTTGGTTCAAATCGAACATTCCATTCGCTTGAAAATGGATTTATAAACATTGAAAAGGAGTAGACCAATGGCTCCCATATTCCTACTTGATCTAGTCTAGGTAAAGACCAGTGAGCCGAGCAGCATAGTCGCACGGGGCGGGAAGGGATACAACGACTAGGGAACTCTAAGTTTCGGCGGATGTTTTTTTAGAGCCTGGGCTATATTACGTGATATGTTCATCCTCTTGTCCGATTAGAGGTCAATAGCATCCCTTTATTATGCTGACATATTTTCCGAGTATTGCTAATATTCAGTACAGGCCTCCTAATTATTTGACCCGCTAAATATTGACCGATCTTTATCAAAATAGTCATGCATATTCTTTGGCCCGATACCTTTCTCCATGTTCGGGCCATAATTGCGGCCTCTGGAGCGACAAAAAACGACAAAAATTGAGTAATCACATCCTAAATATTAACCGGGGTCTTAATCCTACATTCGTACATTCTTGGGCTGCACAAAGCTATAATAACCTGATATTGTATTTATAGATATTGAATTTTTGTGGGGAGATACCAGAAGGAGTGGAAATGGGTCTCATTTTCCTATTTGATCTAGGCTTGGTAAAGTTAGTAGGTTGTACAAAGTTTGGTTCAAATCGGATAGTCCGTTCGCACGATATTAAACCACTTTGGGTATATTCTACTTATGTATCCTAAAAGAAGTCGCCTTTTCGTAGGGACATTGAACGAACTTAAATATGTGATCTTTATTTATATCTAAACCGACTTCTGTAACCTACGCTAAATCTTGTAAATCGATTTAAAGCAAAAAGACACCCATTGATTATGGAAGCTATGCTATATCTATATCTGTGTCAATCGGCCTAGCTATGGATCTTTAGTGCGCCATTTATTTAAAATCGGACGAATATATATATATATAGGTGTATGTAAATCTGAAATCATTCTAGACTTAATTCAGTACGCTATACAAAAATCGAAAGATATTTGGGGACTTTGGCAAACCATTTACATAAAATCGGACGAAACTATATATAGGAGCTATATCTAAATCTGAACCTATTTTCACGAAACTTTGAACACATCATTCTAGACTTAATTTAATACGCTATGCCAAAATTCGTGCAAATCGAATGATTGTCAGGGACTTGGGTGCACCATTTACCTAAAATCGGGCAAAACTATATATGGGAGCTATATCTAAATCTGAACCGATTTTCACGAAACTTAGAACAATCCATTCTAGACTAAATTCAGTACGCTATGCCAAAAATCGTACAAGTCGAATGATTTTAAGGGACTTTGGTGCATCATTTACCTCAAATCGGACGAAAATATATATGGGAGCTATGTCTAAATCTGAACCGATTTCCTTCAAATTCAATAGGGTTTGTCCTCAGGCCAAAACTTGTGTCAAATTTCATTCATAACATCAACAGACGGACGGACATGCATAAATCGACTCAGAAAGCGATTCTATGCATATTCTCAAAAGGAACCATGGGTCTATTTCGATTCCTTTTGCCTGTTACAAAAGACATAATACCCTGTACCACAGAGTGGTGAAGGGTATAAAAAATATTATTTTGCATAATTTTGACCATTTTGTGGGGTAGGTACCAGAAGAAGTGGAACGATATTACCCATCTTTGAACTTGAACTAAGTTTGAAAGAAATATTTAGATGTACAATTCTTATTCTCTTCCGATGTTATCGTGTGCTCCTGCCGACCAGATAGGAATTTGGACCAAAGAAACATGGGGTCTAAAATCAATAATTCGATGAGGCACATTTTCAACGTATCAAAGTGTATATACCCTCATTAGCCATATGGGTATAAAATTTGTTTTTGCCAATTCCCAACGTAGACACATCTCAATGCCAACTATCCTATGAAACGTACCAATGTATGTGCAAAACTTTAAAGTTCCCTCACAAACATTGCTAATTGACATAAACTGTTGCTTTGAACAGGAAATATATTTCAAAATTTAATAGAACGTGGGCATTGCTGTCGAGGTATATTTTATATACTGTTTTTTAAACCTGTCCTTCCTATTTATGTACATATACGGGAATTTTTGTCAATGCTTTATTCAATTAAATGTATTTATTATTTTTTAACATATTTAAATCTCTGCCATAACAATTTCTTTTTATAGATGTGTGATAATATAACAAAAAATAGTTAATTGATATGTTAACTGCTTTTTAATGTGTTAACCTATTAAATATAAAAAACGCATTGCATATAAAATAGTTGTCTCTCTTTAAGAGAAACACAACTTTTTTCTTCATCTGCTGAAAATTTGTTTGTGTATTTACATTGTAAATATTGGGAATGGCAGATGACAGCTCCGAAACAAAGTTAAAATAAGCCATATATTTTTGTTGTTTTTGTATTTATTTATAATAATTGTATACGAAAATAATTTATAAACAGTGGCGGCATACACTCACTCACATGACAGTTCAGAAATCAAGTTTTTAGAAAATGTAAAACAAAACAAGTAAAAAAACATCGTTTAATTCGGCGGGCAAAACTTTATATACAC